TCTCTTGAGAGGCTATCAAGCTTCTCCAAAATACTCACTGGTAAGTTTATCGTACTCATCGAATGCACTGGTATTGATGAGAGGACTGCTTTCTTCATCGTTACTCTTCCTGCAAGACTTAACGTTTGCTTCTTCCAACCCGATAATCTTGAAGCAACTTTCTCTAGGACCTCCCCAAATGTATCTTTGTTTATTCTCTTCTGTAAAATAGGCATTCCTAAATACTTTCCCAGCTCCCTTGTTACTGCAATACCACTTGCTCGGCTGATCCTTTCCCCTCTTTCTCTAGTAACATTACTAGAAAAGAATATTTTAGATTTTGGGAGACTTACTTTCTGTCCCGACGCTTTGCAAAACTTCTCCAAAACCTTTCTTATCACCCGTACTTGCGTCACTGAAGCTTCAGCAAAGAGAATAAGATCATCAGCAAAACAGATATGTGAAATTTGTGGACCTCCTCTCGAGAGTTGTATTGGCTTCCATCTTTTTGTGTTCACTGCTTCATCAATTAATTGGCAGAGCCTCTCCATGCAGAGAACAAACAAATACGGTGACAATGGATCTCCTTGCCTAAGTCCTCGTGATGGCTTAAAAAATTCAGTCTTTTCTCCATTCCACAATATAGACATCGAGGGACCAGCTACACACTCCATAATCCTTCCAACCCAAGCCTCTGGCAAACCAGCCGCCCTTATCGTATCCTCCAAAAAATCCCATCTTAGTCTGTCATAAGCTTTCTCTAAATCCAGTTTCAATAACGTCCATCCCTTGCGGCCTTTCTTTCTCCTCATCGAGTGTACAACCTCCTGCACTACCACAATATTATCAGCACTCAATCTACCCGGTATAAAGCTAGCCTGAGCAGGACCAATTAACTTCTTCATAATTCCTTTCAGCCTCCCTACCATAGCCTTCGTAATGATCTTGAACAATACATTGCAGAGACTTATCGGTCGGAACTGAGTAATACTCTCCGGTTTGGTCACTTTTGGGATTAACACTACAAGAGCGTCATTAGTAGCTGTAGGAAGCTTCCCAGAATCAAAGAACTGAGTAACAAACCTAACCACCGAGGCACCTACTGTCTCCCAACACCTCTGATAGAAAATCGGCTGAAAACCATCAGGTCCCGGTGCTTTAAACCCACCCATGTCTCTCACAGCTTTCTCCACTTCCTCCGCCGAGAAAGTTTTGTTGAGAACTTCATAATCCTGACTCGTAAGACTCACAAACCTCCTTTCTGACAGTCCTTGTATATCAGTATCCACGTTCTCTAAAGAGTATAACTCCTTAAAGTAGTTCACCGCTAGCTTCTCAAGCTCTTGAGCATCAGAGATCCATTGGTTCTCATTATTTTTTAACATCTCAACTCGGTTCCTCCTTCTCCTAATGATTGTCGACATATGAAAGAACTTTGTGTTCCTATCACCATGTACGACCCATTTTTCCCTCGATTTTTGAAACCAAATAACTTCTTCCTGCTCAAGTACTATCTCAAACTCCTTTAGCAGCTCGCCCTCTTTAATCAACAACTCATCAGAAAGCTGCTGTTCAATCTTCTCATGCACCTCTTTTATCTCCGACGCCAATTCATCTTTTCGTTTTTGCACATTCCCAAAAACTTCTTTATTCCATTTCCGAAGGGTCACTCCCAACCTTGCCAAGGCCTCTCTGGTATCAATCTCACGGTTCCATGAAGTTGCTAATAACTCTTGGAACTCACTATGTTGTAGCCAAGCTACTTCAAAGCGGAAAGGGCGACGACACGCATTCCCTCTTACATCTGGCGTGAGTTGCAAATAAAGTGGGGCATGATCCGAAGCCAAGAACGGGAGATGAGAAACTCTTGCCTCCTGCCACTTGAGTCTGGAGTAGGCGCAACACAACACTCTGTCTAACCTCTTAGCTACAAAGGTACTCTCCGTCTTCCCCCTCTTCCAAGTGAATTGGTTACCACTGAATCCCATATCCACTAGTGACATACTATTAATCCAATCACCAAACGTCAACGAATCTTCAGACAACCTCCCATTCCCACCACTCATTTCATCTAGCCTCACAATTGTATTGAAATCTCCACCCACAAACACCGGGCCAACAGCACTACTGATCACTTCACTTAAAGCATCCCATAAACTACTCTGACGGCTCGGTGAAGGAGCCGCATACACCACAATCAAATTAACAACATCCATCCCGCTTCCTATTTTAGCATGGATAAACTGATCCGAAGACTTAATCACTTCAAGGTCACCTACCTCGTCCCTCCATAACAACCACAAACCTCCACTCTGGCCACACGCATCCACTCTAAAGGAGTTACCGAAGCCCAAACCCCGACAAATTCGACTCGCAGCTTCTCCACCCGCATGAGTTTCAAACACAGCAAGAATATCAGTTCTGAATTTCTTCACCAAATATCGAATCGATCTACGAAATTGAGGTTTATTTGCCCCCCGGAAATTCCATAAAATGCAATTCATCAGATCTTCGTAATCACTGAATAAAATTACTGGGGCAACTTGTTATGCCTCCACTCTCTTAGAGCCTTCTCCATCTTCCCCCAAACGAGATTCTGAATCATCAAGTGTTGGATTCTCTTTTGTTGAAGTCTCTGCCTGTACCTTACTGAGTTCCCTGTTACGTTCAACATTCTTTTCAGTACTCTCAATTCCACTCTCTCCAACGAAAGCACCACCCGGCCGGCCAACATACTCCTTCTCGATCCTCAGTCTCTTTCCACTCGCCCACAAATTCATTTCGCCATTAGTTGGGCCAAAAATCAGACCGCGAGTAGGTCCAGCATTCTTAGCTTTAGGCTTTAATAAAGATGGGCCTCGCAGATTCTCGGCCTTCTTATCTTTCGGCCCAAATCGTGGTAGCAACTGGTTCCCATTCTTCCCACTTGCCGTAAAAGCTACTGCCTTCCCAAGCACTGTACTCGAAGTTACTGAGTTCAGGTTGACAGGATTCTCGTTCTCTTTGTTCTCCTCTCCTCCTCCAACATCCTCTGCTGGCTCCTCCATCGCCCTTTCTGCACCTAAACCTTCAAATCGGTTCGCAACCGTTATTTTCTCCACCATACTCTCATTGCTTCTCATGGAAACTCCTCTGGAACTAGCATGCACAGAGTTCTTTCTCCCATGTCTCACTGTGGTAAAATCCGTTTCCATCCTCGTATCTCCCGCGATCACGTGTGACGAAGTTTCTGGATTCGACGCAGTAGCTACAACTTTCTCTACAACTTTACGTGGACATGCGTGAGCCAAATGCCCATACATACCACATGTTGAACATATAGTTGAGATACCTTCATAAGAGACACAATACCTCTCACCATTCACCATCACTGTCCCTTTTAACGGCTTATTAAGATTTATCTCCACACATATTCTCGCAAATCTAGCTCTTTCAACTTTCAGCGTCGTCGAGTCCACCTTTATTGGTCTCCCTAATCCCTTAGCTATGCCCATCAATATCGTCTTGTGGTAAAAGTTCACTGGGATGTGTGATAATCGAACCCAAACCGGTGTCGTAACTATCTCATCTCTCAACGGGTCAAAAGCCGGCGTCCATGCTTGTACCATAAGGTAGCTACCAAACGCCCTCCATGGACCACCTGACAAAGCATTCATGTATTCTTCCTTGGATTCAAAACGCACCATAAAGAAATTCCTAGGAAGATCCATGACAAACATCGGTCCATTAGGTTTCCACAACTCCTTTAACTTTCGGGTCAGATGCACCAAAGGGACGTTCCTCCCCAAAACCCTAACGATCATACATCTCTTCCACAAACTGTTCATAGCCGTCAGTACCTCTTCTCCTATCGTTATCACTGGCTCTCCATCCTCTCCATTCGGAAACTCTAATCTCAATCTCGACTCCACAAACTCTTCGTCAACTACTTCTTCAGGGATGGGCATTCCTCCTTCATTACTTCCTATTACCTTTCTCACCCAAGAGCCTGGAGCATCAGGAGGATCTCCCGGTGGCCTTCCCTTCTCTGCCATGTCCTCCATCATAGCGTCTGAACTTTCCTCACGCGAAACCCTAAAATCGCCTCCCAAAACCCTAGCCGTCATTCCTCCGACTTACAATCTATATTATTATTTAAGAAGTGATTTTGCTTATTTGTTAGATATATATTAGTCTGTACAAAATGTGGACCCTTAACTTATTTTAAATATTCAAACTAGAAATTTGGAAAGTTGTTGGATGAGTCTATGGTTTGGTTGGTTTTTCATTTTATTACCATACTGAATCAAAATATTTAATTTTTCTTTAGTTTTGATTAAATTCGAATAATTTCAAATATTTTCTTTAGTATAATATTAGTATAAATGAGCTAACCAGTTGTTAAATGGAACTGATTCGATAACTTAATTAAACTTAAAAAGACTTGACCATAATCTGAAAACCAAAATTTTTGGTTTGATGCATACTAAAATTACAATAACATTACTAAACAATTTAATATTCAAACTAGAAATTGTTAAATCGCGAATAAGATGTTTTAAGTATCTACAAAAGCAAAATGGCCTTGTTTGTTTAATGTTTAATCAAAATTTTAAAATAACATTGTTTAAAAAGTTAACAAACATCTAATATTTTAATCGAGTTTAAAGTTGACTATACATATTTTTTTAATGGCTGAATCAACAAAATATATTAGAGTTAAAACGAGCAAATTTGAAATCCTAAATTTTTTTAGCTCAAACATGAATTTAATATGTTTTGTTTTGATTTGAAAGTTAATGGTTTTAATAACCGTTTTCTCAACTATTTAAGTAAAAGTTTTACAGTAAAATTCAAATATATTATTTTATTTTATATGATGCTGTAGGTGTTCTTTCCAATCTCTACGTATTTCACCACTCTTCAGTTTGGTTGTTTCCACATTATTATCTACACCTCAAAAACTGCCATGTTGAAAACTAATAAAATAGACAATGGAATTCATTTCGATTCATAGAAAGCATTGTAGTTTATTGAGTTAGTAAATTTCTTGAATGCAAAATATCACTTCACAATAAAGTTTTCAACACCAAAAGTGGCAACACTTACAAGAAGAAGAGAAATAAACTTATAGAAATCAAATCGAAGTTTACAAATTTACAAACAATAGCAATGCCAATTTTTCAACCTCTTAAAATAGAACCAAAAAGAATCATTATTACTTGTGGTTTTTCTTGAGTAACACACCAAACTTCTTCAACATTTTACCATTCTCAACAGAATCCATTCTCTCTTCCTCATTGTTCAGTATAGAAGCTGCCGTCTCAGCAGCTTTCCTCCATTGCTCACACTGAACCTTCACTCTTCTTAGCTCAGCTTCCATGGCTTCAGTGTTTACTGTTTGAACTCTCTTCTCCATTTCACTCCTCAGACTCTGCAACTCCATCTCCTTGTCCATCAAACTCCCTCTCACTTCCATTAAGTCAGACTCAAGATTCTTGAAATCATCTTCTTTCTTCCTATCCATTAACCCTTTGCGCAAAACCTCAACTTCAGCTTGTGTTCTCTTCAGTTCCTCAGCTAACTCTGCCTCTCTCTGTGAATACTTTAACTTAACCGCCTCTGCTTGTTCATAAGCGCTTCTTATCTGCAACGTGCTTTGTATATACTCATCTTGGTACCTTCTCTCAGCTAATTCAACCGCAGATTTTAACTCACTTATCTCTTGCCTCGCGAGATTCATTGCTTCTTTCATCGTCTCCACTTCCCCTGATGATGATGAGTCTGTAACAAGTTTCTCTAAAGACCTTACCTCAAACCTAGACTTCTCTAACTCAGACTCAGTCTCAAAGAGCTTAGACTTCAGCTTCTGAACCTCGGTAATAGCACAAGACAAAGCAGCTGAGTCCAAACCGTGTTGTCTCTTCATAGCATCAACCTCAGATTGCCATGTCTTGTCTCGCTCCTGTGAGAGTTTACGCAGCTCCTCAATTCTTGAATCTTCTGAGGTATTGATCTCCTTTAGGTGCCGCTTAGCTTCTTCAGCTTCTTGTTTAGCTTCTCTTCTTAATGCTTCTGATCTGCTTAGCTCTTCCTTTGCCTTCTTAAGCTCTTCCTGAAGCTGAGATACTTGAGATTCCAACTCTGGTATCCTCCCTGTCCTCTTCTTCTGAATCTTGAAATATACAAAACAAATCAAGAATCCAAAGTAAGTTGCATAGACCAAGTCAAGAATCTTTCATATCAAAAGTAACTAGAAGAGTACCTCATTAAGAGGGATTCTTGGAGACTTTAGTTTAGGGACTTGAGTTTTTGGTGATGTTTTGGTTTTTGGATCGGATTCTAACCCGGTTGGTTTAACTCTCCGAGCAGTTTTGGGAGTTGGTAAAGAAGATTTCTTCAGCTCTAAAGAACCAGGCCTATCATAGAATCACAATAACATCAATAACACTGAAAAGATAAAAAAAATAAAAGAACTTCAAGAACATATGAGATCATTACCTTGTTTTTGTAGTTTGCATTTTTTTTGGGATCAAGAGTTTAAAACCCTCTCTGTTTGTGTATTTATGATTGCTTCTAATCTGACAAAACTACATGAAGACAAAGTGAATGTGTGAGAAAGAAGCTGGAAATAGAAAGATTATCATAAGCATATATACAACAGACTCAAAGGTAATAGAAAGCTTAAGCAAGTGTAAAAAAACAATAAAAAAGTGTTTGAATATACATTAAAAGTTGGCTTCAAAGAGACTACTATTGCCACCAAACGAAAGGTAAATAAACATTCTGAAGTCTATTTAGAAGAGAAGTAGCCGTCAATGTGATGCATCAAAGCAGCAAAGATAAACCCTATTACAAGCAAAGAAAGCTTCATATCTTACACATAATCTTTTTTTGGTTGTTAAGTCACCATTTTTTCTGGTTTTTTTTTTGTTTTTACTTACAAAAGAAAAAAATGGAATTATGTGAGAGAAGAGACAATATCTTGGCATTTAGTCAATGTGAGATTTTGTTTTATTAGGTGGATCTTCCCAGAAAAGAAACACAGATCCACAAGTTACAATACCCAGAAAGTTAATCATTTGCATTATACCTAAAACTAGAATCTTTTAAAATGTTCTGCAAAAAGAATATTAAAAACAGAACAGAAACACTTTTGCTTTTTGCAGGAAAATAATAAAATTCAAACTGAATTTGAGTAGAGGTAAAAGCCTATATATACCTTAAACTCATACAATTCTGCAGCAAATGGGCAAAACAAACATGTAAAGTTACCTAGAAACGTAAAAAGAATTTTGAGTTCTAACAGTGATCACATCCAAAACCTCAAGAATGATAAGTTTCTTCACAAATCAAGGGAAAAAAATCAATTTAGAATTTGGTAACAAATCATGTGAATGAAAAAAACAGATAAAGAAGAGAAATATTCTTTTGACAAAGTCGTGAAGAAATATTCTTTTTTACCTGTACCGTCGATTTAGCTTCCTTTTGTTGAATAAATCGTTATTTTCTTTTTAAATAAAGACAAAACGAAATTGAAGATTTGCAGAATGAACTTTAAATGAACTGATCTTCAGACACCACTCAATCTGATTTGTTTTTTTCTCACTGACTAACGAAGCCTCTTTTTTCCACAGTGTGCAACATTTTAGTTTTCAACTCTGTTTAAAGAAAAGTATTATCAAAAACAACCCCAGAAGTAATGATTGTGTTGTTTCCACATCTCTTCCTTCGTTTTCAATACTTTTGAAATATTTATTTCTGTAAACCTTTTCACATTAGTGGCATACGTTTGACATTGGATTCGTTTTGATTCTACTGAAAATTCGATTTAGCTTTTTCGAATTATTAATTATCATGAGGGTTTGATAATGTTATCAATAAATATCGAGGGACTATTTTGGAAAGAACTGAGAGAATGAAACGAAAAGTAAAAGAACGTGGAAGAGGCGTTTTTTTAGCTACGCGCTTGTTGACGGGCCCGAGTCACGTGCCACTGTTCGGCCTCATATTGCTTACTTTTGAACGAATGGTCACGCAACACAAGTCACAAACAAAACAAAGACAATCCTAACATTTTTGTGTATCATAGATTATAGGTTTTAATTAACAGCCTTTTTATCATGTTATCATGTTACGGACCAGATGGTCCCAGATCTTACATTCGAATTATTATTGTTTTTTATTAAGTCACATGTTTACAGTTTGATCATATCCATTGATTAGAACTGATCGGAATATAAGAAGATGTGTTTCTCTTGAATAGATATGTGTATTCATCTCAACATATATAGTACAATAAGATGAATGATTATAGGGATCGACTCATAACAGAAAAGATACGTACTAGGAATAAGATCTAAACTAGACAAAGTGATACTTATCTTCTAATACCCTCCCGCAGTTGCAGGGTGGGCTCTGTCACACCAAGACTGGATCGAAAACCTATGAACAGCGCGGAAGGCAATCATTTTGTGAAGATATCGGCGTATTGCAGTGTCGAAGGAATGTGCATGACTCGTACTTGTCCCATTAAGACCTTTTCCCTGACAAAGTGAATGTCGATTTCAATATGTTTTGTACGCTGGTGTTGGACTGGATTTGAGGAGAGGTAGACCGCGCTCACGTTGTCGTAATAGACCAATGTAGACTATCGGAGAGGCTTTCCCATTTCGAGTAAGAGGTTGCGTAGGTAACAAGATTTTGCTACATCATTGGCTACCCCTTTGTATTCGGCCTCTGCACTTGATCTGGAGACAGTTGGCTGTCGTTTTGCCGACCAGGAGATGAGATTGTCACCGAGATAAAGGCAGAAACCTGATGTGGAACGTCTGGTTGTTGGACAGCCTCCCCAATCCGCGTCTGTGTAAGTTGTCAGCTTCATACTTTGTTTCCTGAGCAGTTATAACCCCATTCTTTTTGTACCTTGTAGATAACGGATCACTCTTTTCATGGCAAGGAAGTGGCCTTCTCTGGGATCATGAATGAACAAGCACAATTGTTGTACCGCGTAGGAGATGTCAGGTCTGGTGAAGGTGAGGTATTGCAGTGCGCCAGCCAAGCTTCGATATTCCGTTGGGTTAGAGACTGGTTTACCATCGGTTTCTGCTAACTTGGACTTTAAATCAACATGCGTAGAGCAAGGCTTGCAATCTGACATATCAGCACGTTGAATTATGTCTTTTGCATATTTTGTCTGACTCAGAAAAAGACCCTGCTCATTAAACTTTGCTGCGATGCCGAGGAAATAGCTGATGTGGCCGGAGTCTGTCATAGGAAACTCTGCCTTGAGTAGTTGAATGATGGTCTGTCTTAGCTTGTCCGTAGAGGCCGTGAGAATGATGTCATCGACATATAAGATGAGATAGGCTGTTAAATCTCCTTTCCTGTAAACAAACAAGCTAGTATCCGATTTGCATTGAGTGAATCCATTAGATGTAATGAATGTAACAAATCTAGCATTCCAAGCGCGCGGTGCTTGTTTTAAACCATAAATAGAACGGTTCAATTTGCAGACATGATTTGGCTTTGTTTTGTCTACAAAACCAGGAATCTGTGTCATGTAAACAGTCTCGTCAAGAGTACCATGAAGAAAGGCGTTTTGGACGTCTAGCTGGTGAACCTTCCAGTCATTCATCAAGGCAACATGAAGGACAGTCCTTATGGTAGCTGGTTTTACCACAGGACTAGAGGTCTCCTCATAATCAATACCTTGTTCTTGTGACTTCCCATTCGCTACAAGGCGGGACTTGTGAGTTTTAAAGGACCCCTCTGCATCGTACTTGTGCTTATACAACCACATAGATGTAACAAAATTAGTATTAGGTGGCCTTGGTACGAGATCAAAAGTTTTATTTTTAATAAAAGCATCGTACTCCACTTTCATGGATGAGTTCCAATTTAGATCATCAAGTGCCTTAAGATAGCTTTTTGGTAAAGGAGATTTAGTTTGAGTATGAAGTGAAAGAATCTGTTTGGGCTTAGAGATACCATGTTTAGAACGAGTGGACATGGCGTGCCTTGGAGCCTCTCTCACCCCTTGGGTTGATCGAGTTGGCGCTGCACGAGTAGGAGGTTCCATACTTGTTGTAGCAGGAGGAACAGAAGGTGTCATCTCCAAAATTTGCCGAAACAGAGGGGAGGGTTTGACATCTGAAGAGAGGAAGTCATACTCCGAGTCTTTTCTTGTTTTAGACTCTTAGTATGGGAAACAAGTTTCATCAAAATTCACATTTCGTGAGATTATGATTTTTCTTGTTGTTAAGTCGAAACACCTGTAACCTCTGTGGTTTTGTGGATATCCAAGGAAGATACATTTAGTAGACCTTGGAGAAAGCTTTGTGTTTTGAGAATGATTAGTATTTGGATAACATAAACAACCAAAGACTTTTAAGTGAGTATAAGAAACAAGTTTGTTGAACATTACTGAGAAAGGGATTTTGTTTTGTATGGATTTTGAAGGTAATATGTTCAGAATGTGCACCGCCGTATGAAGAGCTTCTACCCAGAAAGAGGATGGTAGTTTAGCTTGGAACAAGAGACTGTGTACTGCATTGTTTATAGTACGTATCATCCGCTCCGATCTTCCGTTTTGTTGTGAAGTATGAGGACAAGAGAAACGGAAGGTTATCCCTTTAGATGCGAAGAAGTCATGAAATTCTGAGTTGTCAAACTCACCTCCATTGTCACATTGTAATGACTTGATATCTCTGCCAAATTGAGTTTTCACAAAATTTGAAAAATGCAGAAATTTAGAGAAGGTTTCATGCTTGTGACGCAAGGGATACACCCAGAGGAAGTGAGAATAGTGGTCAAGAAAAAGAACGTAATATTTGATACCACTTAGACTCTGGATGGGCGATGTCCAAAGATCAGAATGAACGATGTCGAAAGTGTTGTTGACAATCGTCTTTGAGAGAGTGAAAGGTATCTTTGTTTGTTTGCCTAGTTGACAAGCAGAACACAATGGTGATAAATCTCTTTTATTACATGGTCAAACAGAATTTGAAAGCAAAGAATTGAGAGTTTGATTATTGCAATGAGCCAAACGGCGATGCCAAATAGTTGAGGACGAAGTAAGAAAAGCTTGAGGCTGCGTAGTCGCTTTATTTGAAACTGGAAGAAGCGGATATAGATCTCATGTACTGTCACTGCGGAGTATCCTCTTCTGAGATTGAAGATCCTTCACAATAAAACCAAAAGGATCAAATTCAATTGAACAAGAGTTATCTTTTGTAAAGCGACGTACATAGATCAGATTTTTTATTATTGACGGAGTGACAAGAACAGAGTGTAAAGACAGAGAACGAGAAGGAGTTGGAAAGGAAATGGCACCCGATGATATAATTGGAACATGTTTACCGTTAGCCACCGTGATTGTTTTTCCGGTGCTATCATTAAAAACAGACTTAAGAATACCTGCATTATTTGAGAGGTGAGCGGTTGCACCAGAGTCCATGTACCAATTATTGTCAGTCGGGTCCATGAGTGTCATTGTGTTGAAAGCCGAGGCGAAATCCATTGTTGGCTGGAGCTTTTGGTTGTTGGCATTGTTGTGAGGACCTTGAGCGAGTAACTGTTGTTGTGGTCGTGGACCGAGAACTCTTGGCTGTGAGAATGGTTGTTGTGGTAGCTGAGTCCATGGGTTGAACTGTTGTTGGGGCCACATTTGGTAGCTGTTGTAGTACGGTGTGCTCCATTGAGGGAATAGAGGACGTTGTTGGTTGTTGTATCGTCCCCTGCCACGGTTGCGACCTATGTTGACTCTTTGTTGGAAGTTGTGGTTGTTTTGTTGACTCTGTGTCTGGATTTTCTGATCGTTGGTGCCCTCTGTTGCTGCAAGAACTTTTGGAGAGAAGGAGAATTCATCCTTGTGAGATTTGTTTTTCTTTCCTTTTCCCAGGCGGTCTTCTTCCAAGATCATCATGTTGCGAGCTTCTTCAAAAGTTGGGAATGGCTGTCTGTGCATTATGTCGTTGATGATGTTGTCATATTTGCCATTGAGGCCATTGAGCAAGTAGGTTACCAAAGTCCTCTCTGACACTGGTGCATCGTGGTTGGCAATTAAGTAGGAGATTGACTTAAGCTCTTGACAGTAGGCATGCATGGTGAGATCACCGATTTCTTGCGTGCAAAGTTTGTGATCCAGTTGTATGGATCGTGCTTCTTTGTTGTTGTAGAAGAAGTTCTCGAGTCGAAGCCAAATCTCCTGTGAAGTACCACCAGTTTTGAAGGTGCTTTTGAACAGATCCTTTGAGAGTGTGCAGTACAGCCATAGTTTGACTAGTCTGTCTCGTTTCTTCCAAGCATTGTCGTCATTGTTAGCCGGAAGAAGTGTGCCGTCGAGGTATGAGGAAGAGCTCCTTCCATGCGTCATAGTTACCATCATCAATGTCTAAGAGGAAAGGGATGTAGTGCTTGATGTTGGTGACGCCATAGGCGCGTTCGATCGGAGCAGGAGGAACAGCCATTTAAGTGTGATAAGAGGAGAAGAAGGAGATGATTGAAGAGATGAAGAGAAGAGAAGAAGAGATGAAGGTTTTGCGTAGATAGGTTTCAGGAACTGTAACCCTCTGATACCATATAAGAAGATGTGTTTCCCTTGAATAGATATGTGTATTCATCTCAACATATATAGTACAATAAGATGAGTGATTATAGGGATCGACTCATAACAGAAAAGGTATATACTAGGAATAAGATCTAAACTATACAAAGTGATACTTATCTTCTAATACGGAACACGTTTTGTTAATAATTTACAATGACGAACAATTCAAGTTTTGATGGGCCGCTTTGATGGGCCGCTTTGATGGGCCATAAACTAAATTCGAGGCCCATTTCTTCTCTCTTTTTTCATGTTTCACCACTGGTTTGACTAATTGAACCAAAGATTAAACCGTCACCAGAATTTTGAACCATTCTATTACAGTTGATAAGGAACATAATCTAACATCTTAGTAGATTGTTGTTTTGTTTTGGAACTTGGTAAGAAGATTACATGGTCTTGTTTTCTGTATTTTTCACTTCAAGTTGGTAACGCTCTGCTCATGCTGATCTAAAGGATCAAAAGCTTTATTATTTGTTTCTGTGTTCCTGACATTGTACACCACCTGCTCGATAAAATGTCTGCAATATCTACTCGTCCACATTGGTAGCCCCTTGTCAAAATTTCTTGCTTGAAGTAAACATTGTTTAGTAGTGATGATAAGTAGTTCTTAGTTGGTCTGTGTTGAGCTCTGATGATTTCAATCCATTTGTTTATTATTCCTAGTAGTTTATGCAAGTTTTGGATTTTTTTGTTTGAAGCTTATTGGTAACGTTTTTAACAAGAAACAATGGCATCACTCTGTTGCTGAGGCATCATGGTATGCTATGAAAATGTCCTTATGACTCATTTGGATTCCTTGTGGGGACAGAGTAAATAGAACGAGTTAAAATTTCCAGCTTGATTTTCAGAGAGTTTTTATGATGTTTATATCTCATATTATATGAAACAGGTTCTTGTCCTGAAACCTACTTTGGGAGGAGGGCAGACTTCTTGTTGGGCTACATACGAGTGTGCAAATGACTTCCTGTGCATTTACTAAGATACTGAATCTTTTGTTCAGTTTGTTGGATGCTTCTCTGAACGACATCACTTTCAAGCTGAACCTTCCGCAAAGAGGTGTTTGCTAGGATCAAAAGAAACTTGATCCAAATGGAGAAAATGTTAAGATCAGGAGCTAGAGCTGCCTTCAGAAATAATCAGGTACCGTCAACATCAAGTGTGGTATCAACCATCAAGACGGAAGAATCGATGAATGATCACATCAACTCCCTCTGTAAACAAAAACTTCACAGGGAAGCAATTGAAGCGTTTGACTTTGCACAGAAGAACTCAAGCTTCAACATAAGGTTACAGACCTATATTTCTCTGATTTGTGTTTGCTCCTCTTCGAGGTCTCTACCCCATGGCAGAAAGATACATGATCAAATCTCAAAATCCGACTGCAAGCACGATACTGTTCTCAACAATCACATTCTAAGCATGTATGGGAAATGTGGCTCGCTGAGGGAAGCTAGAGAAGTATTTGATTTCATGCCTCAGAGGAATTTGGTCTCTTACACATCTGTGATTACTGGCTACTCGCAGAACGGTCAGGGACTCGAGGCAATCAAATTGTACATGGAGATGCTTCAGGCAGGTTTAGTTCCTGACCAGTATTCATTTGGAAGCGTCATCAAAGCTTGCGCCAGTACTGGTGACGCTGTGTTAGGGAAACAACTTCATGCTCAAGTCATTAAGTTGGAAACCAATTCTCATCTCTTTGCTCAAAATGCTCTGATTGCTATGTATGTTAGCTTTGGTCAAATTTCAGATGCAAGGAAAGTGTTCTGTGGCATCCCAGTGAAGGATGTAATCTCGTGGGGTTCAATCATCGCAGGGTTCTCGCAACTTGGGTATGAGTTTGAGGCACTACGCCACTTAAAAGATATGTTGTCTTATGGTGTTTACCAGCCAAATGAATATATATTTGGTAGCTCCTTAAAAGCTTGTAGCAGTCTCCTTCGACAAGATTATGGAAGCCAAATACATGGTTTATGCATCAAGTCCGGCTTCTCTGAAGACCCCTTTGCAGGATGCTCTCTCTGTGACATGTACGCTAGATGCGGCTTTCTGAGCTCCGCGAGGAGAGTTTTTCATCAGATAAAGAGACCTGACACAGCGTCATGGAATGTTATCATAGCTGGACTTGCGAATAACGGCTACGCTGATGAGGCTGCCTCGTTCTTCTCTCACATGAGGAACTCTGGTTTTGTTCCTGATGCTACCTCCTTGCGTTCTTTGCTCTGTGGTCAGATGGATCTGTGTCAAGGCCGGCAGATTCACTCTTTCATCGTCAAGTATGGTTTGATTACAGATCTTTCGGTTTGCAACTCTCTGCTTACCATGTACAGCTCCTGCTCGGATTTGTGCTGTTGTTTTAAGATGTTTGAAGAGTTTAGAAACAGAGCAGATTCTATTTCTTGGAATGCTATTCTTACAGCATGTTTGCGACATGAAGAGCCAGCAGAGATGTTGAGATTGTTTAAGCTGATGCTTATCTCTGAATGTGATCCAGATCACATAACCATGGGTAATCTGTTACGTGCTTGTGTGGAAATCTCATCTCTGAAACTAGGAAGTCAAGTCCATTGCTATAATCTAAAAACTGGTTTAGTTCTTGAACAGTTTATAACAAATGGATTGATTGATATGTATGCAAAGTGTGGGTCGTTAGAGCAAGCGAGAATGATATTTGATTCAATGGATAACAAAGATGTAGTTTCCTGGAGCAGTTTGATAGTTGGATATGCACAGTCTGGATTTGGAGAAGAAGCTCTAGTACTGTTCAAGGAAATGAATAGTTCGGACATAGAGCCAAACCATGTAACCTTTGTTGGTGTTCTTACTGCTTGTAGTCATGTTGGGTTGGTAGAAGAAGGCTTGAAGCTGTATTCAATCATGCAAAGTGAACATAAGATTGCACCGACGAAAGAGCATTGCTCTTGCGTAGTAGACTTGTTATCCCGTGCTGGTCATTTAGATGAAGCTGAGAAGTTCATTAACGAAATGGATTTGGAGCCTGATGTAGTTGTGTGGAAGACTCTTCTCTCTGCTTGTAAAACACAAGGAAACATTGATCTCGCACGAAAAGCAGCTGAAAATATTCTGAAGATAGATCCATTCAACTCTACAGCTCATGTATTGCTCTGTGGGATACATGCTTCTTCTGGAAACTGGGAAGATGCTGCGTTGTTGAGGAGTTCCATGAAAAAGCATGATGTTAAGAAGGTTCCGGGACAGAGCTGGATTGAAGTTATGGATGAAAGGCATATATTCTTTGCTGAGGACGTTCTTCATCCAGAGAGGGATGATATATATACGGTTTTGCATAACGTTTGGTTGGAGATGGTTGATGAGTGTAGGTCGCAACACAAGAGAAAACTTTAGTTTATACATTAGACAGGATACACAAACTTTCTTAACTTCTGATAACATTAGAGGCGTTTTTGTGGAGTCTTATGTAACAATATGAAGAAATGTGGAGGCTTTAGATGTGATTATTAAGTTTTGTTTACATTTATAGCTGAAACTCGATGGCATGCTTCTAAAAATCAGTCTAGGCACCAATTTGGTTCTACCCGAAACGATTCTCTTAAAATCGGATTTACAAGTGATTCTAAACTGTTACTACAAATTCACAAATTTGTTTACTTTCTTTTGTATATAATTCATCAAAATAATTTTATAATAAAATCCAAAAACTAAATTATCTTATATAAATGTAATGTATATATATAATCAATCAAATAATTGGTTAATTCCTAAGGGAAGAAAAATGTTATAAAAACAAACAGAAAACATTATCCAGTTTTGGACAAGAAACAGAGTGAAGCTAAGGTGGGTTTTTATTCTCCAGGCACAGGGACTCCTTGCTTCAGCTTCTCACGCTTGAGCTTCTTCTTCCTTGGAGGTAGGCTCTTCTGAGCATAAACGTACATCACGTAGTTAGTCCCGGGTTCAATCCATTGGCTTCACCAGCCGCCTATGAAATGTCAAACCAAATGAGTTCATATAAATCATATACATGTGAATGTACCAAACAAAACGTGCATGAAACAGGATATCCGATCGTTTGTAAAAGTAAAACACCGCACTCTCAAATAATATTGCTAGATAAGAAGACACTGATTTCACAATATGTTTAAAATATGATCAATATGTTAAGAAACGAAGATCTGTTTACGAACAAGAGATTATTAAGACACAAAACACACGCAGATGTGTTGCTCCACGTGTTTTTGTCCCTACAGCCACTTCTAGTAACTGGAAAGCTACTATTCGGACCCATTGATTTTCGGGAATATCCTGATTCAACCCTTTTTGTTATAAGACCTTAGACCCCTAAGTAAACCAGAACTGATTAATCCATTTTTAATTCGGTTTAGGTTTACCAATAATAGGACTCACAATAAAACTTTTGTTTGAATTGTCTCGTTTTCAAGTTACAAATTTCACCAAAATTTTGTTAGTATTTTTGGGTTTCTTTTGTTTGACATTTACTCTAGTTTGATTTGCATCAATTATTTATATTTGTTTTCAGATTTTGTTGAGTTCATAATGATCAAATTCTGGCTAATAACTTGAGTGGTTTAGTCCTTTTTAGGCAATCCAACTCGCCGTAGTGTTTTAAAAAAAAAAAACTCTGCGTAGTATTTTTCAACAACTTTTGTGTAGTTATCTTACATACATTTGATATTGGAAGAAAAAAATAAATTGAATATCAAATTACCAATAAAATTTTATGTTTGTATCAGTTTTGAGTTGTTTGTTTTCAAAGTTAAGGAAACTCATAAGTTTTAGTTGATATTTTTGGTTTTCTTTGACCATATTTACTTTGATTAATTTGATTTTTTTGTCGGCTATTTACTTTAATTTGATTTTACAAGTGATTGTTACAATTTAGTTTCTGGTGTTGAGTTGATATATAGATCAAAATTCTAGCTAATAGCTTAAATGTTTTAGGTTTTGCTTACAAACCAACTTTGTGTAGTTTTTTCCAACTTCAAGTAGTTATCTTACATACATTGAATTTAAAGAAAAAGTTCAATATTGCAATACATATAAGTTCTGATTAAATAGTCAAAGAAAAAAATTATTTTATTTTTTGAATACTACGATGCAGTACATTTATATTCAAACTACTTCTTAGAGAATTAATTCATTATTCACACAATTTCTCACCTAACTTTCAATCTGAGAGGACGTAGCTGCACTAGGACACATGCTCTGCTTCTAGATGCTACATGAGAACTCCATTGCTCTAAGTAACCTTTACGGAAGTCTTATTTCTCCCCTTGAAAGCTTACAAAGAATCTCAGAGAAGATTGATGATATTGTATAGCACACTCTCAAGATTCAACACTTACGCTTTATTCTCTCAGAAGATTCAAGATCATCTTCAAGAAAAAGTTGAAAACAATTTAGTGGATGAACAAAAAATTATTGTTGACTTTGTTTGTAGATTTATTATAACAATGCACTCTCTCTTTTATGTAGGATACACTCTTCATTTTTCTTTATTTGGAATTGAAATAAAATCAAAGATCCATTATAACCGGTTTAATCCAAACATTTATCAAACCATCAGTCAAATTTTTCAATACTAAATCTAAAACCAACAAACTGTAATAATAAACACACACATATATATATATATATGTGTGTGTGTGTGTGTGTGTGTGTGAATATGATTCATAATTCTAAATTTATGAAGATTTAGGATTAGTTATCAAAAATTATATATGTTTCATAAATCGTAATTAAGTAATTGGAGTAGTTGACAAAAAGAGTAACTGAAGTAACCATTAGAAAATATCAATATTGAGTCAAGATTTCTCTTGATTCCAATCCTTCTCGAAAAAGTTACTATTTATTTTCTCTCAGTTTAGTTTGACAGCTACACACTACAAAGCCAACAATTTCTATAATTTCGGATCAAATAGTCAAAGGAAAATTATATTTTAGTTTCTTTAAATTGTACTAAATATGAATATGTGATGAAAGTTAATGAAGAGATTAAGTGAGCAATCATTTGAACCAAGCAAAAAATGAATATGAGGCAGACTAATGCCAACAACTTCACAAGCTTTTGCCTTGATGCTAGCATAAGCTAAACAATCTTTTTGTCTCCAACCATTACAACGGCTAAGCAAGGACCCACAACCACTGGTTGAGAGCTCAAATCCAATGTTTCTAGGGCAAAATTGGAGGAATCATTTCTCAAATTTGTTTTAACTTCATCATCGATAACACCTTTCAACAAATTGACCATTTTCTCTGCAGAATTCTCCAGTACAATAGCTTGCTCACCCCAGAGCATGAACTGAGTAACCTCCAGTTTTGATCTTATTGCAAAGATATGTGATGTCTTAGCAAGAGTAATTGTTATGATTCATTTTTCAATATCTGATTTTTCTTTATTGCCAATTTCATTACAATAACTTGGAGAACTACCAAATTAGCTACCATTTAAGAGTTGATAACTGCAATTTCCACCGCTTGTTTAGCCACTAACTCTTGAGATATTAACTCATGAACCAAATGAAGGTTTTTGATCACGTCATTCCAGGCAGTGGCAGCTTTTTCCTTTAGAGATAACATGAGATCAATCCCTTTCAAAATAATCTTATTTCTATACCTAATAGCATATAATTCTTCGCAGGCCTTATCAAGTTCAGACTGTTCAATCGTCAACAAATCTTCGTTGCTACCAAAAAGAGACTCTGCAAGATGCTTGGACCAATTTATCAAAGCAACACTAAGCGATCAAAGACCTCTTTGATCATCGAATCCCTAGATCTACGAGCTTTCCGTTCTTTATCATCATCATCATCTTTATTTCAGTCATATCCATTCCTATCTCCCAACAAACCACTAAGTACTAGCGATCTTGTAAGTAGATTTCCATAGAATCTACCAGCGGAACCAGACGAGAAAATACTACGATATAGTACATTTCACTTTAAACTACTCCCTAAACGAACATGAGAATCAATCTGTTTTTTCAAACGATTTTGTACCTAGCTTTCGATTTGAGAGGAAGCAGCTCGCACCACAAAATATGCTCTGCTTCTGGAGGATACACAAGAACGCCATTGCTCTGAGTCACCTCTACGCGAAAGCTTCCAAAAAATCTCTGAGAAGATCGAGAAAATTCAAGATCACCTCCAAGAACGATATGGTGTTTGAGCGAAAAATTATTGTTGTTTATGTTCTTAAGGTCTATTAGAATCTGAGCTTGAAAAGAAAGCAAGTCAGTATCTCATGGAGAGGTGAAGTAGCAAAAGAAAGTAGACGACAAAGACGAATCTTACTGTAAAGTCTTGGGTCCTACATGTTGACTACACTAACAAAACTGTTTAACACTCTTTTCAATTTTCTTTATTAAAAATTGAATTCAATCAAAGACCGGTTATAACCGATTTAACTCTAAACATCATCGTTTAGATATCTCATCATATCTAATTCCAAATCCAATAAACTGTATGTAATGATACATATATGGCCAGATTTAAAATTTTTGGAATTTCAAACATTTTTTAAAAGAAATTAGTAAAAACTAAATCAGTTAATTCTCTTTTTTGTTTAAATCAAACCAATTCTTTGTAATTTTTATTATAATTTAGTTTCGGTCGTTGAGTTGGTATAGTCAAAATTCTGGTGATAGCTTATGTTAATTTTAATAAGACCATTTAAAATTTAAGTGATAACTTTTATCAATAAATAAAATTATAACTCTAATGTAATAGGTCAGATTTGTATATCTTCTATTGTGATGTTTGATTGGTTAGAGTAATTAAATTGTTATTATTATTATTGTATGATACATGTCAATTTTATTAAGACCATTTTAAATATAAATAACAATTTATTTATTGTTAGATAAAAGTATGATTCTAATTTAGTAGATTAGATATCACAGGTCAAATAAGATGTAAAACTGATTAGCCCAAATAAGTATATAAAAGTTATTTAAACTAATTCTTTAGTGGTTGATCCAAATGGTTAACCTGAATAAAAGTAAAAAAAAAAAAAATTAAAGTTGGTGGTCATAAAATTCTGTTTTGTGAGAAGTAGCACGTCCCTGGAGATAAAAGGAAAAAAAAAAAAAAAAAAAGAGAAACGAAACCCTAAGAGGATCGAGTCGTCGAACTTTTCTGATCAGAGAAGAAGGAAAAAGCAAAAGATGATGAACACTTCTAACGGAACGATATCGGGACCATCTTCATCGTCTTCACCGGCTGCGAATCCTCAGGCGCCTGGGATTAAGACTTATTTCAAGACCCCCGAAGGCAAGTACAAGCTCCACTACGAGAAGACTCATTCCTCCGGCCTCCTTCACTACGCTCATGGCAAAACCGTTACTCAGGTGAGTCAATTCGTTTAGGGATTGCTTAGATTCGATTCAGTCTCCGATTTGGGTTTTCGATTTCTGATTTGCCCAATAAGAAAATTTGAGAGATTTAGTGAAATTTCGAATTGCAATGTTTAGAGGTTGTAACTTTGATCAGTGGGTTTCGTTAGCATTGCTTAAAGGTTGTAACTTTGATCAATGGGTTTCATTAGCATTACTTAAAGGTTGTAACTTTGATCAATGGGTTTCATTAGCATTGCTTAGAGGTTGTAACTTTATGAATGGGTTTCATTAGCATTGCTTAAAGAGTGTAACTTGATCAATGGGTTTCACTAGCAGTGTAAATTTGATCAATGGGTGTCATTAGCAATGCTTAAAGGTTGTAACTTTATTAATGGGTTTCATTAGCATTGTTGTAACTATTATCAATTGGTTTCATTAGCATTGCTTAATGGTTGTAACTTTGATCAATGGGTTTCATTAGCATTGCTTAACGGTTGTAACTTTGATCAATGGGTTTCATTAGCATTGCTCAAAGGTTGTAACTACCAATGGGTTTCATTAGCGTTGCTTAAAGGTTGTAACTTTATCAATGGGTTTCATTAGCTTTGCTTTCCTTTAGATTATAGCGCAAACGAGAGTTTTCTTTTTGCGTTGTTTTAGGTAACTCTAGCTCAGCTTAAGGAAAGAGCTGCTCCTTCGACACCAACTGGTACTTCGTCAGGTTACAGTGCTAGTAGTGGATTCCGTTCAGCGACAGCGAGATTGCTAGGCACTGGGAATGGAAACCGTGCGCTTAGCTTTGTTGGAGGTAATGGAGGGGGCAAAAACGTGAGTGCTAGTTCTAGGATCAGTGGCTCCTTCGCTGCTGCTTCTAACTCCAGCACGTCGGTGATGAATACGAACTTTGATGGGAAAGGAACTTACTTGGTCTTCAATGTGGGTGATGCTGTTTTTATTTGTGACTTGAACTCACAGGAAAAGGTAATTGCTTGGTTTTTCTTTTGAAGACTTGGATGTAGGTGTTCTGGTATGAAGAACGTACCTTTTTGATGTAGGATCCAGTAAAGTCTATCCATTTCAGTAATTCGAACCCTATGTGCCATGCTTTTGATCCTGATGCTAAGGATGGGCATGATTTACTTATTGGGCTGAACTCTGGCGATGGTAAGAAGGATTTTGAGCTTGCTTTTTTTAACCTCTCATCTAGGTGCCTTGTCGTGTGGATTTATAGTTGGTGTGTGTGTTGTTGTAGTGTACACTGTATCGCTGAGACAACAACTACAGGATGTCTCTAAGAAGCTAGTTGGAGCACTGCATTATAATAAGGATGGCTCTGTGAATAACAGGCAAGAGTTTTTCTTTTTGCGTGGAATGAATTTTTTTTTACTTGCCACCTGTTTATTGTGTTATTATTCAACTGAAGGCTTCATCTGGTTCATGTTTGTTTTATGTAGGTTCTATATGTGTTTTTTGATTTGTACTTCTGCTAGTGTTTTGTCAATGAGGCAAGCTTAGGCAATTCTCAGTGACAGTAGACTAGTCAATTTATTACGAATAGGATGTAGTCTCAGCAGAACGATTTTAGTTGGTTAAGATGAAACATAAATCGACAGTGAAACAAGTTTAGGTAATTCATTTTTCTTTCGTTGTTATGGATGTGTATGCTCTACGAAACTCCTGACAGTAGATCAGTCAAATTACTATAAAACTGGATTTAGTTTCTGTCTTTCTGAGGATAACAGTTTTAGTTGGTTGAGTTGAAACATGAATCTGGCTAGAAGGTCTTTTCAACTCAGGAACTTAATTTTGTTTTGGTGTCATTTCCTCTCTAAAATTAAATAATTTGTCTTGTTTTGTTACAGCCGTTGTACTAGTATTGCTTGGGTGCCTGGAGGTGATGGAGCATTTGTCGTTGCTCATGCCGATGGGAATTTGTACGTGTATGAGAAGGCAAGCTAAGATATCAAGAAACTATTTCTTACGTTTTACTTTAATTTGCCTGATTTTGTCTCATTCTTGATCCTGGTTAATTTAACTTTTAGAACAAAGATGGTGCCACTGATTCAACATTTCCTGCTATAAGAGATCCTACACAATTTTCGGTTGACAAAGCAAAATATAGCAAGGTACTTGAGTTAGCAACCATTACCATAGATCCTTATATATGTGGTGGAAGCGTATGGTACATGCCTACCCTCTGATAGTATCATTAGTTACTACTGCTGTTGTCAAATTGAGAAATTCTTACATTTTTTTCTATCCCCTAGTATATTCGGATGTACAATTGTTGATTCCCGTGAGTATTCATGCAGAGTAATCCAGTTGCGAGATGGCATATTTGTCAAGGTTCAATCAACAGCATTGCATTCTCAAATGATGGGTCACACTTGGCCACTGTTGGAAGAGATGGTAAGATGCCTGTATTCCGTTGTGTAGCTCTTCTTCTTTCCCTAAGTGTTTCTTAACTAATCATTAAGCTTTCTTACCACTTGACAGGTTATCTTCGCGTTTTTGACTTCTCAACCCAGAAGCTAGTATGTGGTGGAAAAAGCTATTATGGTGCTCTGCTCTGCTGTGCTTGGAGGTTACTTGAAACCATTCCTTTAGAAAATTTGTCTACAGTAGATGCTATGTTTTTGATAATATTGAAAACGTGATTATATTGACAGTATGGATGGAAAGTACATTTTGACTGGAGGTGAAGATGACTTGGTTCAAGTGTGGAGTATGGAGGATCGAAAGGTCGTGGCGTGGGGTGAGGGACATAATTCATGGGTAAGGTTTTTGATTTTTAAAGAATACAGACTCTTCAGTTGTGTTTCAAAAAAAAAAGAGACTCTTCAGTTGATTCATGTTGGAATGCTTACTCTCAGGTAAGTGGAGTAGCGTTTGATTCCTATTGGTCGTCACCAAATGCGGATGGGTCAGGAGAGCATGTCATGTACCGGTTTGGATCAGTTGGTCAGGTATTGCTTCATGCTCCTTTGTGCCTAGCTTCTCTATATTGCTGTGGCCAGCTTTATCATTTGAACAGTGGCAATACTTAGAATGGTTATAGGGTAAGGACAACAAAGAGGTGATAGGAGATATCTTAGTATAGATCTTTGTAATGTTTCTTCATAGGGACTTATCATGGAATGATCCAAGCATTGTCCATGGAGCATTATCCAGATGACAGATAATCATTTGTTGGTCTGCTAAGTAGAAACTTGTAGTATTTTCCTCATGCTCCTTTGCATTTAGTCTTCTTGATACTCCTCTATATATGATCTCCATGTCTTTGGCCTCACATCACTTTGCTGAATCCCCCAGGATACACAACTGCTTCTCTGGGACCTTGAAATGGACGAGATCGTGGTTCCACTCAGGAGACCACCAGGAGGATCTCCCACTTACAGCACAGGAAGCCAATCTGCTCACTGGGACAACGCCATACCAATGGGAACTCTTCAACCCGCTCCTTGCAAGCGTGACGTCCCAAAGCTCTCACCGGTCATAGCTCACCGTGTTCACACAGAGCCTCTCTCCGGTTTGATGTTCACACAAGAATCAGTGGTAACAGCTTGCCGAGAAGGCCATATAAAGATATGGACAAGGCCTAGTGCCTCAGAAACCCAGTCCAACAGCTCGGAAGCAAATCCTGCAATTGCTCTCTTGAGCTCAAGCTTCCCCAAAGACAACAAAGGATCACTGAGCAGCAAGATTGGCGGTTCTAGTTTGAAGCAATGATAGGAGATGATGCTGAAAATCAGGTGCTATTATTTAGTCATGTTATTATCTCCATCTAAAAGTGGTAAAGGAAAGCCCTGTGAATAAAAAACAAATTCTGCTGGGTTTTGTTTTTTTAATTTATAAGATCAAAATCTGACTGTATATTGGAAGGCTGACAAAGTTGTGGGCATAGAAAAGAAGAAGAAGATGGGTGAGTGAGACGAAAGAGATATTTAATTTTTCTGATGTAATTATAAGAAGAAGAAAAGATGTTTTGGTTTTCAGAGTTTTATGTCTAAAGACTTTCATCATCAGCCAATAATGGGAACTTTGGTGCTTCAGAAGAATAACACTTTTTTTTTTATTTTCATTCAGTTTGCAGTACTACTAAACGATCCATTCCTTCTTTTATCTATTTGGTTTCTCAAACAATAATGTTATAGCCTGCAATTTTGTTTCACTTTAAGTGTCATTTTAGACTAGTGAACACGGATTAATAAGTAGATAATTAATTTGATATATTTTCTATATAAAAACATAATTACGTATATACTTAACTACATTTAACCAATAGAAAAATAAATTACGTAATAAAATTAATAATTTAAATAGAAAAATAAATTACATAATAAAACTAATAAATTTTGCATTGAAAACCGAAAACGACATTTATTTTGTAACGAAAAAAATTCTCTATAACGACACTTAATATGAAACGGAGGGAGTAATAACCTATAAAGCATAAAAAAAACCACATAATTTAATTAGTTACATAATATTTAATAACAAAAATTGTATAAAATATGAAAACACTTTGGGTTTAAAACAAAAATAAAAAGCCCAGATATTAAGCCTATCTTACATACTTATGTGGCCCATCTAATATTAAGTTTTAAAGTAATTTTCTCCACAGTATTCTCGTTCGTCTGTTGCGGTGGGACTAACGTCGCGGTAACACGGTGAAATAACAACGGACAAAAGATCGGAATCATCTCTGATCGTCTTCCATGGCGCAGATCCCTAATTTGGAAAATGCTCCTCTCAATCTCAAATCCATCAGGTGCTGTCGATTGTCAATACTTAAAATTGATCGTTTTCTCTCGTTATCATCTCATATGCTTTTGCTCAAATTCTAATACAGGGAGAAGTCTCAGAGGGAGCTCGTAAACTTGCTTAAAGACGTACGTCTCGTTACTCTCTTTCGATACGATTCGCAATTGTGAACAATTAATAATTATCAATTTAGTGTTAAAAAAGAAAAATAATAATTATCAATTTTAATTTTTTTTGTTTTTGGGTAGAAAATAACTAATAGTTTTGTCCTGTGTCTTTTGGTGCCTTGTGATTGTAGATTCGTGGAACTAAGTGTCTAGTGATTGATCCAAAGCTAAGCGGTTCCGTCTCATTGATCATCCAAACGTCTACACTTAAGGTAAATGATTAGAGAGCTTTGAGGAAATTTTTTGTTCATTCTGTTTAGGAAAAGAAAGATATGATATGATTCAATTTTAGTCTTCTAATGGTTGAGTTTGGTTTCAGTATTAGTGGTGTTGTGATGTTTTTTTTTTTTTTTTTTTTTTTTTTTTTTTTTTTT